TATGTGGATGTTGAAGAGGCACATTTGAGACACAGCCATTCAGTTTTTTTCAAACTGATTTTTTATGCTTGGTCCATGTCCCATTTTGGAGTAGTTGAGACGGTTGGTTATTCACCTCTACCACTACCACACAAATGCATACCACTTCCTAAAGAATACACCCTGGGGTATTTAAAAAGGCATATGTTGAACCTTTACGTGGGATAATTAGTTTGCTATTTTGTACCATGTGTAGTGGTAATAAGCATTTTTTCTGCATTTTTGACACACAAAGTGAGTTTTCACGGTATATTCTGCAAACTCTATTTGTGCTATGGCAGTATAATACTTCATAGGTTTCTCAGCTATGTCGTCTGAGTACAGCAATACCCCAGTATATACCTTTGCCAGGTATATCTGGATGTTGAAGGGGAACATTTGAGACATAGCAATTTTTTTTTTCTCTAACTTTGAATTTTTACGCTGTGTCCATGTTCATTTTAGAGTAGCTTAGTTGGATGATTATTCACACTACCCCACAAACACATACCATTTTTTAAACAATACACCCTGGTGTATTTCAAAAGGCATATTTTGAACCTTAGCGTGGAATCATTTTTTCGCTAGTTTGTTCCAGGTGTAGTGGTAATGAGCATTTTGTATTTTATTACTTTTTTTTACTTTTTAAAACTTTTTAAAACTTTTTATTACTTATAAAAAAAATTTAAACTTGTTTAAACTTTCTTCAAACTTTTTTTACGCTTTTAATTTTTTTTTTTACTGTTAAACCCTAACTAGCTTAACAGTAAATTCCTCAATTTTCTACTAACTCCCATCCGCCCCAGGTAGCTAAATATATCATTTTACAATTTCAGGATTGGCTGTTCAATACTATGAGTGGGAGGAGCAAACGAGAACTAAATAATAAAGCATCCAGTAGGAATGAGGAAGTTTCATGCCACAGAAGCTATGTGATTTGTCCATGAAGAAACTTGCAAGTGAACAAAATGTAGAGGATGTTTTCTTCTGTATTCTAGTTAATGCTTCATTGATGGGATGGGTGAGACCTTGATCACTGGACTTTGTTGTATGCTATTTAATTCAATGTTTGTGAGTGCAATGTTAAAATGTTTTCCTACACATAAAGTAATTACACTATTTTTGCCATTTTGTTCCCTGCATGTGTATTATACCCCAGTAGAAGTGTTGACCTGGTTATTAGAATTATATTTCTGTACAAAACATCTATTAGAAGGACCAGTATGATAGTGATGATTTGTAGGCATATATAATTACTTCTGTGAGTGCAATATAGTATTGGGCTAACCATTAAACCAGGGGTTCTCAACCCAGTCCTCAAGGACCCCCTTTTTTTTCTTCCTTTTCTAAACACCGTAGATACCTAAATCATGGACTGGTAGGGAGTCCTTGAGGACTGGGTTGAGAACCCCTGCATTAAACCCTACAACATCTCAGTACTAACTCTTAACCACTACACCACACCTAACATTTAACCCGTAGGCTACTTTAACACCCTCACTACCCTTATTTCAATCCTTACTCTTTTTCTAACTTCCACTTAAACCTTAAATATACATAATGGCAAAGCTTGTTTTAGAGGAAAATAATGCCATGTTGACCTTTTGTTTCATGATTTATTATGATGTCCCCAGAAGTCCTTGTGGTTTTACTTTCCCATAATAGTTTATTCGGTATTATAAACATATATATACCCTTATGAAAGTTCTCTTAGAGAACTGAAACGTCGACCTTGTCATGTAAATACTTTGTTGGATTACTAATTTCTAGAGAAAACCTTTGAGTGTTGATTGATATTGGAATTGTATGTAAAAACTGTGTTGATTCCCTTTATGTATTTAAATGCTTCTATCATAGACGGGGAGAATATGATAGAAACATTTAAATACATAAAGGGAATCAACACAGTAAAGGGGGAGACTATATTTAAAAGAAGAAAAACTACCACAACAAGAGGATATAGTCTTAAATTAGAGGGGCAAAGGCTTAAAAATAATATCAGGAAGTATTACTTTACTGAGAAGGTAGTGGATGCATGGAATAGCCTTCCAGCTGCAGTGGTAACACAGCGAGGGAGTTTAAGCACGCATGGGATAGGCATAAGGCTATCCTAGACTTAAGATAAGGCCAGGGACTAATTAAAAGCATTTCAAAATTATTGGGCAGACTAGATGGGCCGAATGGTTCTTATCTGCCGTCACATTCTATGTTTCTAATGTGGCCAAGCTCTGAGTAATGTGTCTGTATGATTGGAGTGCAGGGCTACTGGAACATATATATATATATATATATATATATATATATAAAAAGCTGTGGTACCTTGCACTCAGGCTATCAGGCTGTGAAATATTTTCCGTGTGCCAGTCCAGAGGCTTCCATGTACAAATAAATTGTGATTAGCTAGACTGCACTCCTGGTCTCTTAATAAGAAATTCCAGACTTAATTGAAGAAATAACGATCAGTCCCCGTCCAGGGTTATTTCTAACTATTCACTATTTTTATACTTTTTATATCTATCTATCTATCTATCTATCTATATATATATATATATAAAGAGATGAACCTTGGCACTCACCCTATATTGAAGATGCAATGAGTAAAGCCTGGGTGCAAACCTTGGCGTTTGAATATATACAAAAATGAACAGAGGTGCACTCACAGGTCAGACCTGTGAGTGCACCTCTGTTCATTTTTGTATATATATATATATATATATATATATATATTACATCCACTCTCACTACAATCGCTTGACATCTCCAAACAGTACAATATAAAGGGTATTTTATGTTCCCACAATGACTGATGCAAATATAGACAAGGGATGCTTGTCATGCTTTTCTCAACCTTCCAAGGTCCTCAAAATCGTTTCATCAGTTGGTACATCTTTCATGAGTTTGATATCCATCTAGTAATTTTTATGTGTATTTTTCCTTTGAATTTGTCATTTGTTTTTGGTTTACATTACTTATTATCTTGCAAATTAGAATGTCTTGAGTTTACTGATTACAATGATGCAAAATTCAATAAACTGCTTTGACAAAATGTAGTTTTCAAGCAGATACGGTCGAAGAGAGCTGATGTTTGGTTTCCAAAACTTGTTTTTTTTTTCCATCAAACACACACTTTCATGCTGTATAAATATATGTTTAGCATACTCTAGTTTCCTAATATATACATATAAAAACTGGATATAAAACCAGGCTAAATAAACTAATCCCTAAACATCACTTTTGAACTAGAACATCTTGTTCAAAATATCTTATGACCAGCTTTTAGTTGTTGTTTTTTAAAAATATTTGGAACAAACACTAACCTTAAAGTTAGTAAATTATACTGATCGCTGCCAACATAAATTACATGACTTAGAAATAAAGTGAGCAACGAAACCAAAATTCCTTTTTATAGCAAAACTAATCACATGATTATCTTTTTCTAATTCTAGCTTTTTAAATATAATATACATATTATTCTTACGTTATCTTCTGGTTACTAAACATTGTAGCCTCATTTAAATAGATGTTTCCTCTTTTAAAAATCAATGTGATCTATTTAGATAAAATAATAAAAAATAATTTATTGCACCTCATAAAAACTGCAGCATTCTATCATGTAATTTTATTTCCAGTTTATTTACATATCACCTGCATAAAAATTAGCCCACGTGGGTGTCAGGGATATTCATCCACATCCAGATATTAAGCAATTTTTCTGTGCTCTTTAATTATATTATTATTTATATAATGCCAACATATTCTGCAGTGCTCTACAATTATGAAGAGGTACTGCTCAAATGAGCTTACATACTATGAGGATTTGAGGTAGGTGGATAGGTGTTTGGTGTCTTGCCCAAATGAGGTTGTCTGACCAGGATTTGAACCTGGGCCTCCCAGATTTAAAGCATGTTACCGCTGCTCTAGCCAGCCAATATATCAATAGAACATTATGCTTGATCAGAGATAACAATTAGACTTTCACAATGTTCAAGTGGATAGGTTTGCAGAAGGACAGAGTTCTGTGAACCATTTTATAAAACTAACTATTAGTTGTGAACATTACTTTTTTAGTAGAGTGGCTATGTGCCTTTTTCAAAAGAATGACAATTCATGGGCATTGACTTCTAGCAGAGAATATATAGGTTATTAAAATGGAATTCAAAGCACCATAAATTGGTAAAAGAAATTGGTCTAGATGAAAATTTGTGTTCTTGGGTAGAACATTGGCTTAAAGATGGAGTACAGACAGTTGTTATTAATGGTACATTTTCAAGCTGGGCAGAGGTGGCAAGGGTTCTGTTCTGGGACTACTCCTATTTAAAATATTTATAAATTATAGAAACATAGAATGTGACGGCAGATAAGAACCATGCGGCCCATCTAGTTTGCCCAATTTTCTAAATACTTTCATTAGTCCCTGCCTTATCTTATAGTTAGGATCAGGGCCACCATCAGGGGGTGACAACCATGACGGTTGTCACGACCCCGGCGGTCCTGGGGGTCCTGAACTGCTTTGGCCGTCCCGGGCCCCACATTCCCTCTCTGCACATATATGATCTCTATATATATTTGCAGCTGAGGGTCCTCGCCTCCCTATACTTACAGATGGGGCCCAGCAGACTGCATCTGTATATTACAGCTCTTTGCTCCTTCTAACTTCTGCGAGACCCACGGCCGTCAGAGCGCTGTCATGGGTTGCCACGGCACCCCATTCAGTACACTAACACACACTCTGCATTAATTACACTAACACACTCTGCATTCACTACACTAACACACACACTCTGCATTCACTACACACTAACACACTCTACATTCATTACACACTAACACACACTCTGCATTCACTACACACTAACACACTCTGCATTCATTACACACTAACACACTCTACATTCATTACACTAACACACTCTGCACTCATTACACTGACACAAACTCTGCATTCATAACACTAACACACACTCTGCATTCACTATACTAGCACAAACTGCATTCATTAAACTGACACACACTCTACATTCACTACACACTAACATACACTCTGCATTCATTGCACACTAACACACACTCTGCAAGCACTACACACTAACACACACTCTGCATTCACTACACTAACACACACAGCATTCATTACACTGACACACGCTCTGCATTCATTACACTAACACACACTCTGCATTCATTGCACACTAACACACACTCTGCATTCACTACACTAACACACTGTGCATTCACTACACTGACACACACTCTGCATTCATTACACTAACACACACTCTGCATTCATTACACTGACACACACTCTGCTTTGATTACACTAACACACACTGTATTCATTACACACTAACACACACTCTGAATTCACTACACTATGCACACACTCTGCATTTACTACACTGACATATACTCTGCATTCACTACACTAACATACACTCTGCATTAACTATACACACAGCATCCACTACACAAACATCCTGAATTCACTGTACACACACTACATCCACCACACATTCAAACACTCTGCATTCACTGTACACAGACACTGCCTCTAATACACACACTACATGCACTGCAGACACTGCATCAACTAAACACATTGCATCTAGTACACACAAACACTACATCCACTACACAAACATACACTATATTACTGTACACACACTACATCCACTACACAAAAACAATCTGTGTTCACTATACACACTGCATCCGCTACACACACACACACTCAGCATTCACTGTACAAACAGTATCTAATACACACAAACACTACATCCATTACACACATTCTAATTCACTTCCACTATACACACCACATTCAGTCCTGCATCATTGTCAGCGGACTAGGATGGAGTCCTGTGGGTGGACTCGTGGGTGGGCCGGGGGGCGGGGGGGCAGACCTTGTGCTTTGTCAGGGGCCCCAAAATTTCTGATGGCAGCCCCTGGTTAAGATAGCCTTATGTCTACCTCACGCATGCTTAAACTCCTTTACTGTGTTAACCTCTACCACTTCAGCTGGAAGGCTATTCCATGCATCCACTACCCTCTCAGTAAAGTAATACTTCCTGATATTATTTTTAAACCTTTGCCCCTCTAATTTAAGATGATGTCCTCTTGTTGTGGTAGTTTTTCTTCTTTTAAATATAGTCTCCTCCTTTACCTAAGAATGTAGGGGTGTACTCGGAGAAGACAGATGGTTATTGAAATAATACAGATTGTTATCCTCTGAATTGTGAGATGTCATGGTGAATGCCATAAAGGTACTGACTGATTATACTGTACTATCTGCTACTGTTTCCTCCCTTTTCTTTTTCTGTAACCCATAAACATGCTTTGAAAACCAATAAAAAGCATAGTATGGAAAAAACAATGATACATCAAAATCGTCATGTATCTGGTGTAGGTGGTGCTGGAGGAAAACTCACAGGATATAACTATCAGAAAACACATACCCTATGCTAATGTCTCGTTTTCATCTTTCTAGTAAATCCATACCCCCTAAAAGCAGTGTCTGCTAAAGCAATATTACGGTACTCGGGATAAAAGGGTGGGCTACTGACGCGAATCATGTAATCAGAACTGCCCAAAGGGGCACTAAGTTTGGCACATAAGTTTGCATTTGTATTTATTTACAGTTTAGGCGGTAATTCCACTGGTAGGGATTATAGATAGATTTATCTTACCTCCTTCTAACTATATATTTGTACCAAATTAATATCACTATAAAAGCAATATGAGCCATCGGGTATCTTTTTGACATATGGTTTTGTTTACATTTGCGGAATTTGCGGAATGAGTGTTCCGTCCCAATTGCTTTACGTATTTTATAAATATTGAGCAACCTTGTAACATAGGCAAACCTCACACTACATAATTATATCCTGGTTAATGGTTCATTCCAAGTGCAGGGTTAATTGCCTTCCACCTGATGTGGAAAGGGGTACATCACCATCTTGTTTAACTCTTTGTATAAATGAGAATAGTGATTGGTATATTTATTTAGCCTTTGAGGAAGAGCAGCCTGCCCTTCACATGACTTAGTTCTATGCACATCTTCTTTGCCTGCTGATGCATGATTCCAAAAAGGGGATTTGCATCTTGAAAATGTCTTAAACAGTAAATGGCACTAAATTACACATACAACATGCACCAATGTAAGTACTTCAATCACTCAATTCTATAGTAGAGCCATGGGCATGACGTAAATATATGAGTCCATCCATTTTCTACATAGTCTTAATTATACAGACATGATCTTCATGAAGGAGAACACACCTGAAGTATTGAATATGTAGATACAGTTCAGGATACCCATCTTGTATATGTTGATTAAAAACAAAGAATGCTCTCCCCTGCTGGATTGGTCCTTCTAAATTTGAGGATTGGTCCCCTTAATATTTAAAACAATAAGTGGTATTATGTCACACACAAATGGAGTATGATTGGATGTATCCTGATTATTTAGTTCTATATTAGAACTGTGTATATGGAGTAATAAATATAGGTCTGCCCAGTTGATAGTTCCAATCATGTCAGTTAGTACTTTGGAGGAAGTAGGAAAAACAGTCAAACACGCAGACATATGTTAGGACACCCAGTGCATCTTTGCTGGGTCATGTATTTTAACGAGATGCACTAGGGAAAGTCAAATGCAAAAGCTAAATGGAGCAACTGCCAGGCACTTACAAAGTATAGAGGGTCCTTCCAGCACCCTTTGCTAAAGTGTGCGCTAGTAGCTTATGGTCTATTGCCTTGAGCTGACTCACAGGATTTGAAAAATAAAGCATAATAAAATAAAACAGACATACAGCCAGACATGTAGTTTTAATACAAGAAATCTATATAGATGTGCTGTGTCATAGGGGGCGATTTTGGACGAAGCTGCTACATGGTATTCTGTGCAATAAATCTGTGAAGTGGATCGACTGTCTCTGCCATTTTTTACCCCAGGAGGGAGTGATATTTGGAGTTGTCATAGTCAGAGCAGGCTCTTCTGCTCTACTTTTGTGATTTTGTGTGTATTTTATCTATTATATTTTGCTGTTTGTTATATAGATTTACACTATTTTCCTCCTTTTTTATGATACATGGAGATGACCAGCATATGCATTTTTAAGTGAGTGTTTTGTGTATTTTTATCACAGTTTTGCACATATGTGCACAATATATGTGTTAAGAAATTTTATGCACTATAATACAAATCCCATTTTTTGCACATTAAATCACTTGTTGCACTTTAAAATAATTTTGCCTTAAAGACACAGCAAACCTATATAGATTTTTTGTATTTATTGCGTATTTGTATGAGCTGTTACACTGTTTAGGGTGCTGCTTTTTTTTTTTTATATTTTGTCACGTCCAGAACTTTAATTAGAGGACAATTATTATGAGCGCCTTAATATTCACTTGTTCTTTTTTAGTAATGTAGTATTAATACTCATCATGTGTCTTTCTGGCAGCACTTTCCTTGCAAATAGGCATTTGTTGTGTTGGTGCCCATAGAGTTCCTTTAAGTATGTAAATTTCCTTTGTTTGTATTGCTATATTTGTTAGTGTGCTCGAGGAGCCTGGGCCATTTAATGCTACCAGTGTTACATATAGAGTTACTATATTATTTTATTCCTGCATGACACATTAGTCAATATAAACTTGCAGTATTTTATTTTTGCCTAACATCATTTAGCTGCATAATTATATAGCTGCAATAGAACTTGTCTAGACAGTTTGACAATTATATTAATGATATAACCATATAAATCATATAAACAGAGCTACATCTCTGCTAAAGTTTAATATGCCACACAAAAAAATAAATAGTAAGTAAAAATAATTGTTTATAAATGTAATATCCTAAAAGTATATAACAATAAATATCTTGGCATGTCAAGTTATATCACTGTTTTGGTCAGAACCTAGATCTGTGCACTATTTTCATTTCCTCATTTCATTTTGCAATCTTTTATTTGTGCCAAACAAATCCAACTATTAAAACAGCATTATAGGCTGTTTACAACATGTAAAGTAAAATAAAATTGCTAAATAGAGAAGGAGAACAAGTGAGTGCCCTCAAGTTAAAATGTAACTTTTAATATAAGAATAAATTAAAACAAATAATATGGTATGTCGAAAGAATTGTCCAGAGTGATAAATATGATAAATAGATCATAAAGATCAAAACAAATATATATAATAAAATAAAATACTGTAGGATCAATTATATTATTTTGAAAAGCGTAATTAACGATAGTAAACCAAGGAGGTCCTGTTCAAAAGTTTTCAGGACAAATCTCCAAAAAGTGTGCAGAAAACCATATAGGTTTTCAAATGCATACAAGTGTGTATCTCAATATCATTTCTCTCAATGAGGTTATTTTTAATTTAATTTACTTTATCTATTTTTTCATTTTTTCACAGTTTTCTGAGATTGTTACAATTTCTTATTCGCTATGCCCCACAGGTTCAGCCTAGGTATAACAATTTTGCAGTTCCTTTATCTAGCAAATCAATTTAGGTTTATCAGCTGTTATCTACATCGTCCAACATATAACGTTATCTATGTTTGGGTATGGTTTCTTGATAACAACCTTTTACATCATAATTTGCATTGAGTGGCGAGAATTATTCTAATACCGCAACAATTGTTACCACCCCTTAGAATGATACACATCTTGTACAATTCTCTCATGAATATGTCGATTTTGCAACATTATCATCTTCTAAATTATTGTGAAAGCAAAAATCTTTTTCTGCTTCTTCGTTCAGTCTGTTTAATTATTCTACTTTCTCCATCTAAGCATATTTTTGGGTCTTAATGCCAAACTATTTAATAATGTCCTCCTATAAATCGGACTTTGTATTATGTCCGCTTTACTGCCCCTATTAACATACCATCATGTTTCTGTAAAGGTATGCGGTGTGCCTGAATTGTGATTATTAATATTGATATATCTTGGTGCTCCCAGAATCACGTCTCAAGTCATTGACTGTTCACACTATCATGTCTCCAGTAAAAAGTGGGTGGTGCTGATTAATTGACATCATTAAAATTTGCAATATAACATTTAGAATCATACGATAAGACACTGGTGTCAGTCGGGCACTAACATTAAGCCCCCCTTTTTAAAAATGAGCAATGTCTTTACACATTTTATGATTTCAGGTACATTATGAAATATCTTGATAGT